ACCCCAAAGGCCTGCCGCTGTTGGGCCAAAGGTCTCCCCAGACCGCTGGTCAATCATTAACAGGACCCTGGAGCATCCAGGCTTTTTGCAACAGAGCCTGGAGGGAGGAGGAAGGAAGGAAGACCAGGGAGGGGTGTGTTTGGGGGGTGCCGTGCTGCTACCCTCTTTTCTCTTCCCCCAGGGCACGCTGGGTCTGCCCGGGCTGGAGGGGTTCGGGAGGCACCTTTGATGCCAACTGATGAAAGGCTTGCCAACTTGGGGGACCAAAAGGCCAAACAAGGTAGAGGGGGGCCCAATGGAAGGTTAGTTTGGTCAGGCACGCTGTCTCATCTCCAGCTATCCCTTCATGAGCATACATGTGCACACACGCATGTGCATGCATACACTCTCACACACACACACACACACACACAGAGAGAGACTCTGAAATCATTGCTGCTTGAAATTCCCGTCCAGGTTTCCTCTGATGGGAGAGCTGAGTGTACAAAAGATGGCATCCAGTCATGTTCTTTCCCGATAATAACCCTCAGGAGCGACCCCGGGGTCCTTGAGACTGGGATGAATCTCTGGGGTGGCAGAAAGTGCCTCTGCCCCACCGTGGGAGGCAGTGGGGCACAGAGCTGCTGGTGCATGTGGCTACCTCTCTGCTCCCCCCCTCCCAAGGCCTTGCCCTCCATGCCCTGCCCTCTGTAAGCACACTCCAAAGAAAAAAAGAGGACACCCCCCCTCTTCTTACAACTTCCTGTGTGTGTGGTTGATCTGCTTCCACACCAGCATGTACCCAGCCACGTCAATGCACTCTGCATGGGATCAGAGGCACTCTTGTCTACCCAAGCATGCTGGATGCTCCCTGAGGAGACACAGCACTATAGACTGGGGGAGCGGAGGCATGCAGAGATGAGCTTTTGCTGCCGAGGACCCCCCTCCTCAAACTCTTTCTCCACACACCCATCTCCTCCCCACCCCGCATTCACAAACTCCCACCCCCCTTTCTCTCTCTCTCTCTCTCTCTCCCTCTCCCTGCCGGCCTCCCCCTCCTTCCGTATCTGATAAGCCATCTTTATCTCCCCACCTGAAGAGAGCCACGCAAGGGGTTGGGGTCAGGGTGCAGAAGGAGGGGCTGGGCTGAGCTGGCAACAGAAGACCCAACAGGGTGCCGGGCATGGGTGCTTTCTCGTGGGCCCCCCCACGCCTCTGCCGCCTGCTCCTCCCTCTGGGGGTTTTCTTCCTTTTTCTCCTCTACTTCTCCAGCCGGCACCTCCGTAAGTCATGGATGGGGGAGAGGTGGGAGGTGGGGTGGGTGGGGGATGCCACAGCCCCAGGCCCCCAAAACAGGGTGGACTCTCTTCTCCTCTCCTCACCCTCCCACCCCACTTGCGGGGCCAGGCAGACCTTCCCCGTGAAAGGGGGGTGAGGAGCGCTGTGGCTGCAATTGATCATGCCTCGGATGGGGTGGGGCCACAGTCACCCACAAATGTCTATGTGCAGTAAAAGCTGCTGACCTGGAAGCCACCAGATGGCTCTTCTGGGTGGCACTTTCAGCTCCGGAGACCTGTGTGGTTCTGAAACTGTCACCCTTCTCCCACTATGGCAGTGGGCTTCTATGGCCCCCAGTAGGTTGTAAAGGATAGGAGTCCCCCTCCTGACTGCGAAAGCAAAGGAGGCTCTGTCCTGTCAGAGTTCTCCGCTCCATGCACCCTGAACCCCAGATCGCTCCTGTGATACAAAAACCGGGAAAACAGCTGGGCTGGTACTTCAAGCGATAAGTACGGCCAAGGTATTCCTTGCCAGAGAACCTTGAATGGGCTCAAGGAGCGTCCTTCATTCCACCCTGATCCGATGACTCACCGAAAGTGAGGGACCCTCCTGCTGTTTGGCCCTCTCCGACCTCTTTCCCCGGCACTCTTGCACAACCGGAGGCTTTCTGCCAAAAGCAATGCCCATGTGGCTGCTGTGTTGCCTGCCTGGCGGCATCCAGATGCTCCGGCACACCTTTCATAGCACATGGCCAAGAGCAAGCCAGAGTGGCTCTTACCCGCCAACCGCCAGGAACCACTGCCCTTTTGCAGACTACACTTCCCAGGATCCCCACCCTTCTACCCCCAGCGACGTAGTCCCCACGCATTGCTGCAGCTGAGGGAGTGGGCAGGCATACAGGTCTCTATTCTTCATCCAGAGGATCGACACACGAGTCACGGTCCTTCAAAACTGGGCTCAGCTGCATTCTGCAGCTGCATTCTGTGTCTTACATCTCAGCCTTACTACCTTGAACACAACCCAATCTTGCTTGCATTTGGAAATGCAGCAGGGCCAGGCCTGGTTAGAACATAGAAGGGAGAAGCTGAGGGATAGTCTGGAATCTCCAGGTCAGCTGAGGAAAGACCCCAGCCCCCCCCCCATGGCAACCCTCTGGCGTGAGACTGGTGCTCTGCCTCTAACTTTTGCCTTTTCCTGCCCAATAGCAGATCTGCCCCACTCTGCCTGCATCTGGGGGGGTCGGCCCTGCCCTTGGTTCGGGCAGGCACCACCTGACAAGGAGGATGAAGAGAAGGTGAGACTGCGAACGGTTCAAAACTGGAGTGGGGAGAAGCTTCAAACCTGGATTTGGGACGTTCCGTGCTGGGTTTGTGGACAACATTTCTAAACTGGCCAGAGCTGTACCTTGGCACTTGGGGGAGAAGGGTACCTTAAGTCCCTAATGGACAGATACACGCCTCCATTAGGAGGGAGCCAAAGGGAGACGGGAGAGTTAGCAGCCCCCTCCCTCGCTCCCTCAGAGGCGGTCCTGGGGATAAGACAGCCGGTCTCCTCTACGGGGCTGCTGTCAGGAAGCAGAAAGACTATCAAGGTGAAATCTCAAAAATATCATAGGAAAGCTGAACAGCGAGGCAGGCAGGAACTTCAGGTGGAAGTAAATTCCTACGACGACGTGGCAGGGAGCAAGTCAGGGAACACAAAGGCGGGTTGGCATTTCTTTTAATCCTCTCAGGACCAGCTCAACCCAGGCTAACCAGGGACTCGTCCCTTCTCCTTGGCCCTCAGATCCCTCCCAGGCCCGTCTCTACAGAGATGCCCAGCTATGGCCTCACCTCGGAGACACCAGACTCCCCATTCCAGGAGCACCAGTTCCAGATCCAACGCCTAATCAGCGCCTTCAAGGCCAGCCTCACACCAAATGAACAAATCCTCCTGCAGGGATACCTGAGTGGCTGGAAAGAGCTGATCAAGTGAGTGCACAACCGGCAGCCTCCGAGGGCAAAGCTCGAGAAACGGAGTCTTGAATTTGTCGACCCCCTCCGTCCTCTGAGCTTCATGACCGGCTAGTAAATTCCTAGGGCAGGTGGAGCGATGCCTGTCCCTATTCTTGCCAGAAAGGTACCAGGTACCTCAGCACAGCCATGCCTGCAGAAAGGTTCTGAGTAACCAGCATGACAGGCAGAAGCCTGCAGAACGCCCTGAGCCATCCACTCCTTTTCTGCCTGCTCAGGGACTCAGACCCACACCCCTGAGCTAGCTAGGCCCTTGCCCATCCCACCTGGCCTTTTGCCTCACTTACAGAAGCTGGGCTGTCTCTTGCTTACCCCACCCGGAGCAGCCTATCCAACTGATTGTTGGGAGGGGGGGTGCGCTCCCCTTTCAGTTTCTGTGGCTTGGATATCTAAAGTCAGGCTTCAGAAGCAGGTGGGAGATCCCTCAGGTCTCCGAGGGAGGGGAGGGCTTTTCGCTTGGTCTCCTCATGCCCCTAGCAGAACCTCTGCATTCCTTTGCAGGTTTATGGACGCTTTGGGTGCTGCCTTTGGGTTGATCTCACGGGAGACCCAGAACAAGATCAGCATCATGGAGCATCACCAGCGTGGGGAGCACGGCCACCACTACCGCACCGTGCAGTCCATGGTGACTTTTGAACTAGCCAACGGCTTGGTGGGCTTCCAGTCTCTGCCGGAGGACCAACCCCCATCTGGCTGCCGGACTCTGCTGCGCCTCCACCGTGCCTTGAAGTGGCTGGAACTTTTCCTGCATAAACTGAGAACCAGCAAGAAGGATGGGGACCCTTCCCAGATGTGTGCAGAGGCCTACCGGGAAGCCCTGGCCCCCTACCATAGGTGGTGGGTGCGGCAGGCTGTGGCCCTGGCCTTCCTGGCCATGCCCTCCCGCCAGGAGCTCTACCGCATCGTCAGTCCCAAGGGGGAGCAGAAGGGCCAGGCCATGCTCCTGGCCGCCATAGGCAACCTTGCTCGGGTGTACAACATCACCCAGGAGGTGTACGCCTCCCACGGGATGCTGGAGCTACCCTGATGCCTCCTCGATCCGGAGACATGGAAGGAGGACCAGCAGGGGGGGAAAAGGGGGAAAAAACCCTCACATTCTGAGAAACATCTTTTCCAGAGGAGGGCACCAGAGGAGGGGTGCTGGGGGTGCCCCCTTCCTTGGCAGGCCGGGTGGCTGGGCGCTAAGACTGACGCTGTTGACACCGCAGGCTCTCAGAAGCCACCAGCCTCCGAACGTCAGGCAACACAGACACCCTGTACCTCTTGTCCTGGGATGGGGGGGGCGGTCACATCATTGCTAGATGGCTGCTCAGTGCCTTATTTGTGTGTGTGAACTCAGGGGCAGAATTAACTCAAATATACAGTATTTGGGAATTGGTGGATTTGACACCAGGGCGCAGCCACAAGGAATTAAACCGTGTGCCTCTTCACTCCCTCTGCTGGTCATGTCTCTGGCAGTTTCCAAAGTACATAGCGGGGTCAGGGGTGGGTATGACTGATTCACACCTTCAGGGAAGCCCAGAATCGTGGAGCTGGAGGGGACTCTTGAGGTCATCAGGTCCAGCCCCTGCCCATGAAGGAATCCTCCACCCAAGTATCCCTGGGAGATGGGCAACCAGCCTCTGTTCCTCTGTTGATGGTGCTTCCAGACTACAACTCCCAGAATCCCCCAGGCAGCAGCCATTATCATCCGAAGCAGGAGCTCTTCCCCGTCGAGGGACCACACGCCCTGGACGACACGACGGGGTTGTTGTGAGCCTCTCCGCCTCAGATCCCGGGCCCCTTTTGGGGAAATGGCGTCCGGCCGCCTTGGTTGCAACTACAACCCCCAGAATCCAGCGGCCTGGGCCGCTCTGGGAGTTGTAGCCCAAAAGCAACCTCCCAGACACCCGCCCCCCGCCGCCGCTGCTACTCTCGGAGAAGGACGGTTTCCTAGCAGCCAGCTTTTCCAGCCGCCGCCCCCACCCCACCCCTATTAAAGCTCCGGAAGTCCCAGGTGGGAGAGAGAGAGGAAGTGGCGAGAGCCCCGCCCCCGGAGACAACTTGGGGCCGCTCTAGGAGGCAAGCAGAACTCGATGTACAGGGAGGCCAGACGGTAGAGCGCCAACGTGGGTCGTAAAAATCTGCCAAAGAGCTAGGAAAGTGTAGAGTGACACGCC